ATTTTAATTAATTCTGAGAAACGATGATTTTAAAGATTAACTAAGGGTTTGACAATAAAACTGTGCTAGATACTCATTGCTAAATTTTTGGTAGGAATAGGACAGAAAAATCATCGGTTTCTGGTGAGGTATTATAAAATACAAGTTAAGAATTCCTTAACTTTAAAGGGGGTTACATCAAGCGGTAAAAAGAGAAGTGACGTTAAATATATATGAAAGTCAGGAACAAAACAGTTAGAACCATGTGAAAACATGTACACCTTGTGTAGATGAAACAGATATTAGTGCGGATCACAGACTGATTATTGATTATTATGAACACATAGCTGTTCGAATGGTGAAGTCAGAATTATGTTAGCGTTTCTGCAGGTAAGGGCAGTTTTCTACATGTACACGGGCATGATCATTCGGCTAGTAGTTATCATGAGCACGTTTGTTTTCGCTATTAAAATCATTTTTGATCCCTGTAGCTACTTTGCCTTTTGTATTGTTTCCGCAAGCTTAAGCGATACATGCTAAGTAAATTATTGTACTGTAAATATGGAACATCTTTTTTCTGAAGTTTCTCTATCATTATCAGTATGATTTTAATGTGCCGATTTATCCGAAACAAGAAGACCTGTTATCAAAAATCATTGATGTTTGTTTTTATATCAATGGATCCAATTAATAATGAAAATGAAAAAGAGAACTGGTTGGATAGTACGAAAAAGAGAGGTCACATCTGACGACTATTATGATCATGGTTTACGATTTATAGCTTTCAATTATTTTTTTTCTACTTTTTTAAGATGTTTCTCGCTATTTGTTGAAAATCAGCTATTTGTTCAGCAGCAACTTGAGAATCGTAATCGCTTGTATTTTCCTCATCAATTTCTTCATCGCTATCATTCAAATCCATTCGGTAACCATTATTTGTTGCCACTGATTGACTTGATAAACGCTGGCTTTCATTCACTTGTTTGCGTCGTCTTCGAGTAACATACGAAAAATAACTCTTAATTTGCGATGCTGTTAGATCTTCATCTGGTGTAAATCTAAACTGACCATTGTCCTTGATGAATGGCATTTCCTGCAAAGAAAGAAGCTATTCCTTTAGTCTTTTTAAAAACGTTCATAACGAGAGAAATTGTTTCTGGAGTAGATTTAAATCCTGTTTCTTCTCCATTATTGTAGACATCAATAAGATATTTCTTCTGTAATTCAGTAAAACGTGCCTTTATTTTTGGTAGAAGTAAAGCTCATCCTTTTGGTAAAACAACGGTTGACATGCGATTAAAATTTTGGACACTTTTGAAATTTTGAAGAGTAATAGGTACTCTTTGAGCATCATTTTCAAGAATATTTTTAAACATAGATTTAGCTTTATCCAGTAGGGATGTTTTGACTCCTTTGACAATGTATTTTCCTTTATCGAGATGACACTGAAGATCATAGTTACGTCGATATTGCTGAATACAACCTTCGACAGGACAATCCCACAGGAGAAAACCGGAAGGACGACATGTTGCTGAAAAGTCATCGGTTGTTTCTGGATCAAAATCTGTAGATTCGTCAACGCTTGGCTCGCCTATAATTAAACAAAAGTCTTTTCATAGAAATTAAACTTAATCAAAACTTCGTTTAGGAAAAAACAAAAAATGTCTGAAAAAACTTTTTTAGATTTTTACAAAGGTAAATTTTTCAAATTTAAATCATGAAACGAACCTGGTGTTAATTCTTCGGATTTCCAAGATTTATCGATAAACTGAGCTTTATCTTCGAACTGTAGTGACATTATGTTCTTAACTGTTGATTTGAAATCGGACCAGTGGAATATTTTGCCATTTCCGATATTAAAAGCACGCCATGTTTTTAATTCGATTTCGAGAGGAGATGGTTGCAATAGGATTGTTGATCGTGTAGAGAGATGTGAAGAACGTTTTAGAGTAAACTCGATATTGTTGTATTTTGTTATGCCTTCTCATTTGACTTTTTCACTTTGTTCTTCAACAGGTAAACTGCTGGAGAAGATTGATAGATTTTTAGTGGACTTGGCAGCAGTGGCAAAATCAGCACTAGTCATACAATCATTTTTTTCATTAATAAATCTTCTTACTTGTCCTTTGATGACGGCGGCATTGCGATCACAAGAATCTTTGCCGGACTGAGGTTCGGAAAAGTCAATGCGGCGGATGAAAATGCCGGTTGAATCAAATAAAGATTTCACAGCAAGAAGGGTTTCCGAACCATGGTAGCAACCAGCGTTGTCGCTTCTTATAAAAGCTGTACGTATTTCTGGATGATTTGATTTGAGTCGCTTGAATACGTCTTCCAGAATACTAATAACAGTTATACCACTTTGCAGGCAATTATTAAAAACGTGGCAAAACGTTCTGTTTTCGAAAACTCTTTTTGTTAAGCCATCGGATATTGATGATGGTTTTAAACGCACTACGTACTTTATGTGCCAAGGAAGATCTCTAAGACCAAAAAACTCAGATTGTGATTGCCTGTATTTACTTTGAATCCATTTCATGACCCAGTCGATTACCAAGAGTACCTGAAGAAATTGGCATAGAATTAGGTTTCAAGTTCCACTATATATCAAAATTAATAACGTGGAATGATAAGAATGGGGAGTTAGAGTCAAAACTTTCTAACAACTTGATAGACTTTCTATGCTTAGTACTAAACTATGTATTTGAAAAACTGTAGGAAAAATTTTAGAATTGTCAACCATTGAGTCATTTAATCCTATGCTTTGACCTACACCTAAGATTCCCGTTAGTATTAACAGAAAATAATTAGCATTTAAATTTTCGACGTGATCCCTCTGGTAAAAATGCGATTTGTAGAAATCGTACATGTATAGACATCAACAACATTGTTGAAAGTAAACTCATGTAGGTAGAAACTTAATCAACAATGTTTCTTTAATTTGTTGAAACTGATAAACTAGTTATGAACATAACGCTGAAATGTGCATTTATGAGCATAATACACAAATAAAGTCAATTTCGTACTACATCAACAGTTTTTTATGGCATATTTTATTATTAATATTGATTTTTCTTGACATAAACATAATGAAGTAGAGATTGTTTTCAATGTGAAGGAAATTCAAAAGGAAAATTTAAATAGGTAATTATCTATTCTAAGCTTTTATGCAAACAATATTAGTATTGAGATCATATTATATTTTCCTTGTCCGAGTAATTTCAAATACGCCAGATAAATTTTGAACAACAGAAAACATGCATAATGACAGAATAAAATTGATTTGCAAACGTCTTTCATGTCTTCTATGCCTGTCTCGTTAAAGTTTAGTTTGGTTTCAATGTAAAAATACAACTTGAGTTTTATTTTAGTTTTAGACCTTTTACTTTTTTAACTTTTCATTCAAATAACATAAAACAACTTTTGGTCTGTGAATAATTATTTTTCTTTGATGAGATAGTTCAATCTGACTCGGTGTATTTTAATCGATTGTCAAGGTTCAGGCCTGAAATTTTCATTGAATCTTTGCAACTTTTTTTTGAGCTATTAAATATTAGGTCAAAGTTTGGATTCTAGTTATTAATATTAGACATTCAGTATAAAAAATAATTAGAAACTTGTCATGATTTATCTTGATAACCATGACCAAAAATATATTCTCACACAAACATATATACAATAATTATAATAATCAATTATTTGATGTTGATGCATTTCAAGTTTCTTCTTGATTGATTCATGCATTGTATCGAACAAACTTTTCTCAACTATTTTAGACAGAATATCTCGCATCATACCTCAGTGTCGATGCTTTTGAAATGCACTTTTCTTTTTACATAAGTTTTATGGAATCATGAGACAGCGTGAAAAATACCATTTATATTTCTCGAACAGTTAACACATAAACTAACACCTCCATCGGATGCTGTGATAGTTTAGGTAACTAATTTAAATCTCTGCGGAACTCTCTTTTTACGTGATGTATTATGAGCATTGTTTACAGAAATTTATGAAAGAAATAACTTTTTTTTGCTAGAGAAGTACTGATGAAAGATGATACGAGTTGTTGAATTATAAAGAATGAGTTGTCTTACACTATTTTCATCTAAAGATTCAAGAACAGCATCACGAGCAGCTTCTTGATGCACAGATCTTAATTGATGCTTCTTCCATTCTTGTATAAGATGATTTTGACGATTATATCAGGTCAAATAACGAGTACGAACATCTTCGGTAATTTGATCATTATTTTTTATAATCCATTCAATTTGTGCGAGAGTATTATCGAGTAAGAGACAATTTTCGCATCTAGAAATTAAGAATAGCGCAGACCATCGAACAAATGAAAATAAAGCGTTTTATCTACTCTTCTGTATGCGCGTGATCGCATTCTTCATTCCAGTCACCATCTTTAGGATCTACAAGACCATATAGTGAACAATGATCAGGTACGCTACTACTATTCGAAATGTGCGTTTTATAATCGATCTTGATATAGTTTCTACTCTGCTGCGAAGCTTTTTGAAGTTGTACAATTTTATCAATCGAAACGTCTAGTTTAAAAATAAAAAGTTATATATAAAAAACCAGCGACAAAATATCACTTACGAAATGTAGCTAGCTCATCAAGCATTTTTTTAAGGTTGTCGAAAGCGGTAGAGCCGTTAGCTGCATAATTATCTATACCTACCATGCTTGCTCTGGTTGAAGCAGTACATTCCTTCAATATAGCATATAGAGAAGAATCACCAAGTGGTTTAAAGTCGCCATTGGTTGTTTCATAATAAAAAGAATGATATTGTTGAATGATATGGGTATTAATGGTATTACGGACAGTATTTACAACTTCGAGTGTTTTGCCTGTAGTTAATTTAAGAGTTTTTTTTCCGAATGGAATATCAGCAGTGATAGAAGGTGAAAGGACAAATTCTAGAAAATGGCCAACTTGTTGTACATTGTAGCGTTCTAATAGTTCACGTTGTATGTTGACTGGTGCTCCTCGATCTGCAGTGAAAAATAATTAATACAAAACGTGTTTTTAGATAAAGTCATTTTGAAATAATTTTCAATTGTTAACTGTATGTTTTCAATTTTTCATTTTCTGCAAGTTTTTTTAAACAGTTTTCCATTGAGCAGCCTAAAAACTACTTGTTTTTTTATCAAAAATTATTTTTGATTCCGACAGCTAAGAATGGAGTCATTTACGTAGTTAAAATAATCATATCTGAATAATTTCTTTACATATTTTGTCCAATGTGTGACAATTTACAAGATATTTCTCCTTGAACTGTTCATGCCAATTTCATTACGTTCCGATAATTATTTAAAATTACTACAGACATTCAGTATTATTTTTTAGTTCAAACTAGCTCTTCGAAAATTCCTTCTTTTGAAAGCTAATTCGAGATAATTTCATATATTTGTATTTTACTTTTGTAAACTAGTACTATGAAATAGTTCACGTTTATTTGAAATATATATTATATCATTTCAACATTCATCTGATATTGATTTGACGATATTGTTTAGTAGCTAGCTTGCAATACAAATATATTTATTTTTCATAGTAGCTAATATCTTATTTTTTTAGAAGTCTATCAGGCTTTCTACTGTACAGTGACATTTAGGAAACGTGGCAGTAAGGTTCAGATCATGTTTTTCGAAATTTTTATGTGATAATTAATTTATATCAACTATGCAATAGTATTTTAATGAAATTATTCCCATTAACTAGCCATTCATTTCAAATTTTCTCATGTTATTTATACTAATCAAAATGTGAATTATATATTATCGAAAATCGTCGTTCCCTATCAAATATTAAATAAGAAGTCCGGCATGAAACAAAATTTTCCTTAAGAAAATGTAAAATTTTGTTGAAAAATATTTTTCAATACTAAAGATTTAGAATCACGTATTTCAGTGCTTTTTTGTTTAAATTACCGCTAGAATAAGCATGCTTTCGTGCAGTCTTTATTTGGTAATCGCTAATACCAGGAAAGCGGTCATGTAGTACACCTATAGGAAAATCAGCAGCAACTATGCCTAGAATTTGTCGCTTAGTTGAGTAATGATCGGTATCTGTGAGAGCAGTATTTATAGCAGTCATTACTGCGTCAAAACTCCTAAAAAATGAAAATAATAGACCACAATAAAAAAAATTAGCAAAATCTTACTTTTCATCAATAGAATCCTCGTCGTCATCTTTCCTATAACCTTTCCAAAGAACATCTGCCTCAGCATCAGTAAGGAGATTTATACAATGATATAAATTTTTTTTTGTTTGATAACGAAAATTACGTTGACTACGTGGTCCAAGACTGGAAAACGACGATGTTCTGCTAATTCGGTCTTTAAAACCAGTTGCTTCAAGAGCTTGTTTGAAGATATTAAAAGCATTTGTGAATGCAGATTCATGCAAGTCTTCGAGATCTGGTTGACATTCATTTTCGTCGTTGTCACAATCAGATGGAACAGGTGAATGTACAATATTTCCATCATATATCCAATCTACAAAATGATACGACATGAACATGGCTAAAATAGTTTCACTTACCAAAAACTGTATCAGCTTTGCTACGTATTTCGTGCGTTAGATATTTATTTTCATAAAATCTTCTACACTTGCCACATATCGGTCGATCATACAAAGCCCAGTTATGATCTGGTTGACCTTCTTTCTAAATGCCAATAGCAACTGCTTTTGAAACCAACCGCACATCACTAGTATCGGCAGAATCTTGTTTTCGTAAAGGTTTACATACATGGCATCGCTTGTTACCCATAAATGTTAAAAATTTTTGAAATGATTTGAGCAAATATGGCGATAATACAGGTTAGTAGGTTGTAAATAAAAAAAGCCCAGCCCGAAAGAGTAAATGTTCGAGCATTGAACGAAAATTTGTTGAGTGCTTTGTCGATAACATGAATTTTTCGGGTTTGTTATTACTTCCACCACACGTTATCTAATAGATAAAAACTTAGAAAATAAAATAGAATGAACTTTCTTACTGCTGAAACACTTGAACTGAAAAAAAAAGGAGCAACACCTTCAATTTCCATTTCCATGGTACTAACTAAATGAAAACAAAAATGTGAACGTGAAGTCGTAAACGAGCACAACATACATAATAATATTTTAGCTGAAGGCACAAAGTGCATAATTTCTTGTATAGTAAATCTTAGAAAAACTACGTAATTGGATGAATACAATATAATACGAATGTAACTTTAAATGAAATGAGAATAAGTATTAATAAACCGATTCGTCGAGAAGAATCTAAAACTACTGAATTATATTACTAATGTTCATATGTCTGCAGTGACAACTCAGTAAGTAACTCCAATTACAGAGATAGATGGTGTAACACAGACTTGTACAATGGGTCCATGCATTAAATGATCTATGAGTTGAGCACGTGTTATGACACATAACATCTAATAACCAACGATACAAGAAAGAAAGAAAAATATATATACGTATGACAGACATGTTTTTGAACACATGTCTAAGACCGACAAACAAGGAGTATACAAAACAGAAAGAAACGAAGCAAATGTATCATCATTTTTTCATTCAAAAATAAAAAACAAATGAATCAACGAGTCGTTAGAAAACTACTTTTATGCAGTGAACTTTTCATTGATTTTATATATTGTTGTCTTTTGCAACTAATCGCTTATAAAATTATTTCTGTTTTCTACCAATAAAAAAA